AGTGATGTGGCGAGATGTGGATCTCGAGGTGCCAGCGTATTGAAGGGCTGGCACGGTTGTCGGTCACAGATGAAGAAGGGAGCTCAATTCCCGTTGCTCTCGGGGTCGTCGCGAGAGACGTCGACTTGCTCCGGGGTGTCGAAGGCGTGCTCGATTCGAGAGCAGTCAAAGAATTCGTCAGCCACAGTGATGGGGGGGAGGAAGGGGAGGTGCGCGTGCTACAAAAGGCCGTGCTAGACTAGCTTACACCTATGGCGCCCGAGGTAACACTAGGGTTTGCAATTCACGTGGGGCCCAGTACTGCTTTTGGCTAGTATGCAGCAGGAACCTAGTCCACACGTCCGTGAGGACAAGTACCACCCACTGAAGTGCAGGTACTGAAAAGTTCGTTCCCTAAGTGGTGGCGGTGTATAGTACGCTTATCTACGTATCGTAGTGTATAGTAGGGGTGCGCACCACCCAACCTATAGGAAGAGAGTGTGAGTGTGTGGGTCCCAATGGAATGCCGGCAGCTGTGGGGAGTTTCGACCTAATGTCGCGATTTGAGGTCGAGCAACAGGGGAAGACCTAACAAGCTGGGGGCGTTCGACTAATCCTCACCAAAGCGATGGTGAGCGATGCTCAAACCTAAGGCTAGGGACAAGAAAGTGTATTGGTTAGTAAGGTAAGAAAGGAATACAAGTGAGGGCTTACTGACCTAGGGACAAGAGGTCGAAACTGAGGTCCCTAGGGCAGCAGAGGCCGGTTTATATACATGGGGAGATTAGGGCAGGCTGTGCGCGTTGGTCCGTGCGCAGCTGGTCCGTGCACAGCATGCTGACGCGGCCCCGGGGCCGGTGAGTCAGAGCGGCTGTGTCAGCGGAGCCCGAGCTGTGCCGTGCGCTGCCGCCCCATCTAATCTAATCATACAGTAGATAGCGATGCGTCCGTATCAGGCAGGTAGTACAGAGGTCGTGGGTTTGAGCCCACGAAAAGTAAAAAATTAAAAAACGGCTAGGCGCCGTACCAAGTCGTGACAAAATGACTGGAGTTCAATCAGCCATGAGTACAGCATTCCATCCGCAAACCGACAGCGAGACAGAACGAGTGAACCAAGAACTGGAGATCTACCTCTGCTGCTTCACTGCCAATGACCCGGATAAGTGGGCTGACCATCTTCACACCGCACAATTTGCTCACAACTCCTGGGAGCACTCCATGATGAAGGCGTCCCTGTTCAAACTCATGATGGGATACGAACCTCGTGGAATACCCACCGCGCACCCCGGATCAAAGACGCCCCAAGCAGCTTATTGCCTCAAGGACTTGCAAAACATCCACAAAGAAACACATGCGGCAATGGAGATGGCCCAGAACGTCCTGGCCAAGAGAGTAAAAAGGAAGGGGGGTTCCTTCCGTAAAGGTCAGCTGGTATGGCTAGACTTCCGGAACTTGAAGCTGCCATACCTGTCCAGGAAACTAGCCCTGAGACGAGAAGAGCCATTCAAAGTCCTAGATAAGATTGGAACAGTTGCGTACAAGCTAGACTTGCCTAGCACCTGACGAGTTCACCCTGTTTTCCATGAATGGCTTCTATCTCCCTACTCAGAGACGGAGATCCATGGTCCGAACTACACGAGGCCACCCCCTGACCTTATTGAAGGCGAAGATAACTACGAAGTCGAAGCCATCATCGGACACCGAGAGAACAAGAGGATGCGACACCGCGAATATTGCGTCAGGTGGAAGGGTTACTCAACAGCCAATGACTCATGGGAGCCCGAAGCAAACCTGACTGGGTGTCACAACTTGGTACGGTGTCTAGCCGTTTTTTAATTTTTTCCTTTTTGCGGGCTCGAACCCGCGACCTTTGTACTACATGCCCGATATGGACGCGTCGTTATCTACTGTACGATTAGATTAGATAGGACGGCAGTGCACGGCACAGCTCGGGCTCCGCTGTCACAGCCGCTCTGACTCACTGGCCCCCAGGGCTGCGTCGGCATGCTGCACACAGACCAGCTGCGCACGGACCAGTGCGCACAGCCTGCCCTTATCTCCCCATGTATATAAGCCGGCCTCTGCTGCCCTAGGGACCTCAGTTTCGACCTCTTGTCCCTAGGTCAGTAAGCCCAGTTGTATTCTTACTTACTTCACTAACTAATACATTTCTTGTCCCTAGCCTTAGGTTTGAGCCCAGCTCGCCATCGCTTCGGTAAGAACTAAGTCGAACGCCCCCAGCGCCTTTGTTTGGTTTTCCCCTGTCACTTGACCCTAAGTTGCGACATTAGGTCGAAACTCCTCACCGCTGCCGGCGTTCTCCGGAACACAATCACTTTCTCACTTCCTATAGGTCGGGTGGTGCGCACCCTTACGATACCATACGATACGTAGATAGTCTACGTTACATCGCCAACACTCAGGGAACGAACCTTTCAGCACCTGCACTTCAGTGGGCGGTGCTTGTCCTTAACCGGACGTGTGGACTAGGTTCCTGCTGCATACTAGCCAAAAGCAGTACTGGGCCCCACGTAAACTGCGAACCTCACAGTCTTCTCGGGCGCCGTAGCGTAAGCTAGTATAGTACGGCCATTTTTAGTACGCGCACCTCCCCGTCCTTCCCCCATCCAACGTGGCTGCCTGCCAAGGCCAGATCCACGCATTCGACTCTCAGGACCTCGTCGACGTTTACATCCCAGACGGCCCTGAGACTGTCATCTATACTTGCAAGTAGCAGCCGTGCCCAAATTGGACACCCCGATCGATCGAGGAGGATTACCCTCGCTACAAGACAATCAGAAGGGCTCAACACCCCCTCGGTCCCCGCAGCATCCTCGTGTCCCGATCTGCCTCGCGGCATTCTCGCCCTGTCTCCCCCAGCTCCCGACTTCCTCAAACTGTCGTCGCCGGTCCAAGTCAAACACGAGGAGATCTCCCTCCAGACCCTGCGCCAGAGCCTGAGCCTGAGGAGGGTGACAGTGAAGAAGGAGTCTCGGAGTCCGAGTCCGCGGATCCTGCTCGGCCCGTCTCGCCGACAACGCTCGCCCCCGCGTCAGCAGTCCCTGACGTACGTGACCCCTCCCCCGAACTTTCTTCGGCGCCTTCACCGCCAACTCCGCCGAGAGGCCACTCGAGCACTCACTCCTCTCGAAGTTCGACCAGCGGAAGGCCACCACAGCCGCCTCCGCCCCCGCAACGTCCTCCGTCCCCCCCGACACCGATAATGTCGTCCCCTGCAGCTGCCCCCGACAAGAAGACGTTGAAGCTCCTCCTCCCACTCCGATACGATGGCAAAACCGTTATCGAGTGCAACCGGTTCCTGTCGCAGCTGCGCATCTACTGGCTGGTCAACACGTCGTTGACCACCATCGAGCTTAAGGTGCAGGTCGCACTTAGCCTGCTCGATGGAGACGCCCACGCCTGGGCCACTCCCTACTTCGCCCAGCTCGTGTTGGTGCAAATAGGAGTACAAGGGGCCACGACGCCATTCAGGAACGAAGTGGCCTTTGCCACCGCCTTCAAGGCCCGCTTCAAAAATCTCGACGACGAGGCGGCAGCACAAGTAGAGCTGGCGAAGCTCTGCGCGGACAAGTCGGTCCATAAAAAATGCACTGCTGCGGAGTTCTCCGCGCTGTTCAAGGGTCCGGCGGATTGCTCTGGGTATGGGGACCTGGAGCTACGCGACAAATACTTGAGCGGCATCCCCTCCCGCGTCTACCACAAAATCGAGCTCGAAATGTTCACTACGTGGAAAGATGCTGACAAGCGCGCCACGGAGGTCGAGCAGATTCTCGACATCAGCCGGGCCGGTCGGCCCGAGCTGAACAACTTCTTCTCGGCTCGAGGACGAGGACGCGGAGGGGCACGTGGTGGTGCACCCCCGACACATGCAGCTTCGGCCAGCATCAATGCGGCCGTCGGAAAAGGAGACTTTCCCGGCACATGCTTCGGCTGTGGGAAGCAAGGGTACCGATGCTTCGAGTGCCCCAACTGTAAGGACAAGCCTTACACAAAACGCGCCAACGCACAGGCTACGGTTGCCTCGGGTTCCACCCAGGCAGCGACAAGCGCCCCCGTCGCTTCATCCTCGGCGAGTACAAGCGCCGCTTCAGCGAAATCGGAAAGTTCCGAGCTGGCGGACTTAATAGCACAGATGAAGTCAATGCGCGAGGAGTTGGAGCACTACCGAGTGCTCAAGGAAGAGTCTTTTTGATCCAGTCCACACTTCATGCCGCACGCGTCGGGCCGCGTAATAATAATCTGTACAATGTATTGGCGACCGCAAATGTGTACGAATTGGACCATGGGTCCCAGCATTTCCACATCCCGGTGCGCCTTCAAGGAGAAAGACCAAGGAGAAAGACAGCACAAAGATATAATTGCAATGGTGGACAGTGGAGCCACCACGAAGTTCATCAACAAGTGTTTCATCACGGAGAATCGAGTACGGACGCGGAAATTGAAGGAGCCAATTCTGCTTTACAATATCGATGGAACGCTCAATAAAGACGGAAGCATCTCAGAGGTAGCCGTGCTACAGATGCAGATAGGAGAACACGTCGTGAAGACAGTGTTCACGGTCACGGACATTGGTCCAGAAGATGTGATCGTCGGGTTGGATTGGCTGCGAGAGCACAACCCCGAGATCAATTGGGAGTCAGGCTTCCTAAAATTATCACGATGCCCTGAAATGTGCAGTACCAGGAAAACTGGCCGAATGGAGCAAGCAGCGACTGCGCGTGATACAGGGGTCAGGCCCATGGCGCGCAGGCGTCCGCCGAAGTCCAAACGGTTGGTCATAGGTGCCTGCCGGAGTAAGGTACTCCCGGACTTTGAAGCCGAAGAGGATCCAGTGGAAATAGAGTGGGATGAGGCCGATTTGATCGAAGCCTGGGAGCAAGGCATCACGCTTCCCGGCACTCCTCAACTGTTCGTCGCAGCAGGGCATACGTACCCCCAGCTATTTGCTGAGGAGGAGATCAAAAAGAAGGTCATCAAGACCACTGAGGAGTCGGTGCCCAAACAGTACCACGAGTTTCTGAAGGTCTTCTCCAAAGAAGCATCAGAATGGCTGCCCGAAAGGAAGCTGTACGATCACGCGATCAAACTCGTGCCCGGCTACTCGACGT